GTCGCAATCTTATAATTTATTTGAAGGTGGTTCTTGCCTTTTCCAACACTGGACACCTATCTTTAAATCACGAGAAATTAAGATCTCCTCATGAAGGTTAAGATGAAAAGAAAGGCGACAGAAATAGTGTCGTAAATTGCAAAGAACGTCAGCTAACTTGCGTTGGCTTGCCCGTAAACCATTACCAAGAACGAAGTGCACAAGCGAGCAATTTTCACCTACTCCTGAAACGAGTAACATCTCGTGTATAGCTTGAGAGTCTCTTTACCGTATTTCTACCGATTTTAACGAAAGAATCATGGTTGCCAAATACAACGAATGCTTATTTTTGAATTCAGACAAATTTGAGCGTCATGAACAAATATGTGATGGCTCGTATTTATCATTACGACGAAACTTATGTGCATTTCCGATAAAGAAAAAAGTAATTTTTAGTATATCCTGCCAATCTTCATTATCGTATCGCAGAATGTTTGCAGTCGATAATTTGGTCTGTACGAAAAAATTTTTGTCGATGTACATTGTTATCGAAGTCGTAATGTTTTACTTATGACATGGTGACACCTTTTCATCGCTTTGTTGACAATCTAAAGCAAACTGAAAATTCGCAGAGAGCGCTGAAGTTGTATGATTTGCATTTAGAAAAATGGATATAGAAACAAAGATCTTAAGAACGTAGAACGTTCGAAAATTCCTTCGTGGTAGTCCAACCTCTAAGGAGAGTCACGCCGAACATTTGGAAAGGCCGAAGGGAGTTTGACACAAAAGGAACTGCGTCATCTACTAATCGATGGTGGTAGCATGGTGGCACGGAGTCGATTATGACTCCAGATTTAGATCCGCTGGAAGGACAACTTTTGTTTTAACGGCAGCTTCTCTTCAGCACAGAATTAACCCCACGTTGTTTCGGCAAAACTAGCTGGGCAACAGGTAACAAGTAAGTGATTTGCGAAAAACGGAGAAAGCATTGACATTCTTGTCTGGTTATTCCAGAATGCACGAGGTGTATGGCCATACTCTTTGATGTGAACACCCCTTGTAGCTGCTCCACGCTTTAATTCACGTGATAGATGACTATTCAGTGCTGTGATAAGCACAAAGTGTCACTTCCATTTACGTTCCCACAGTGTGGTCGAAAACTTATACTCGTTTTGCAGATGCATTCCCGCCTGCCCTCAAGTAGGTACTTTTTGCCCATACAATGTAAAGGCTGGAAAAAGATATGAATTTTAGCTAAATAATAGATTCATTGGGAAATTCATTGCGTCCGGCGTGTTATGAGAAATTCTACCGGGAAACGGTTGGCGTAAATAATCGACTTAAAATCAACTGTAAATCAAAATTACTGATCTGCGAAGACACGCACAAAACTCTGTGTGCCGGAGTCCTCTCTGTGTCTAACAACTACCTGAAATATCTTCTTCTGAGACTTGAAATTTAATGACTACAGTTGTATCGCTCTGAGTAAATTATGAAAACCCATGCTACACGTTCACCTGCATCTGATAACGAATAATATCTTAGATACTGTAGTCTGCGACACCATTAATCCGCGAAACCATTTTGTCCATATGAAGTTAGACCGTTTTAACTAGGTCATAGACTGAGTAATGTTGACAGCACTTTTTGTGAAATGCGACCCCCGTCTTCGTACTTATAGTCTGACATTTTCCACTGTAAACGCTTAGTCGAATCTTCATTTTGCATAATCCCTTTACCTTTCAGGTGGCAGAAGCAAACGCTTAGGGAAGTACCTCTGACGTGCCCGATCCGGTGCCGGAGTGCGAGCCACGACAGAAGACAGCCAGAGTCTGGAACAGATTCCTTCCATATATTTGCACCATTTTAATCTTGGCCGTCCCCTGGACCTTCTGCCTGTCGGATGGGCAAGAAACAGTTGCTTAGCCTTCCTTTCTAGAGGCATTCGCAAAACATGACCGAAATCATCGCAGCTGTCACTTTCCAATCTGGAGAAGCAGACGCTGTACATCAAGACTCTTGTGGATACCTGTATTCCTGACCATGTCGAGATGCATGAGGCCAGCGATTCGTCTCAGTAAACCTATTGCAGCTGCTGGATCGAAGTTTTTCAGAGGTGACCCACGATTCTACAGTTGATAAGCATAGAATGAAGATGCGCTTGAATACCGAGAGCTTAGTCTTCAGACTCAACTCTGCCATGGTTACAACGGATCGAGCTGGTTCAAGCAGAACGCTACTGGCTACTCCAATTCGCCGGG